AGAAAGACAGAGAGACAGAAAGTGAGAAACCAACCCCCCTCCCCAGGGGGTATGGCCACCCTGCAATCCCTTCTCCATTCTCCTCTTGGGATCTTGGGCATATACGCACACACGCCAGGCCTGAGTTTAAGCCACCAGGTCCAGGACTCGAACCGCGGTCAACTACGTGGGAGTCCAGCGACATAGCCATTACGCTAACTGCTGGTCCCAAAACACTTTTTTTTTTAACAATATAGCCACAAGACTTTGCCTTCTACCACTAATTTTTTTTTCTGATGCTCAATTTTGCTGCAATTAAGTAATTGTCTACCAACGATATCTATAAACTAGTTGTAAAGATGAATTTAAAGGAGACTGGTTTGGCACAAACGAAAGTTAGACATATACTTCTTTGAGTCATTCAAAAATTAGATCACATAGACATTTGAACTAAAAATAGTATAAGAAAGTATTCTAAATATATAACTTGTATTGCAAACTGCTACTAGAATAATGAACGATTGATTATAAGACACATAAAAAATGCTTTGCTTATAAATCATTAAAGAAACAATCTTTAAAGATAAATTTTGTTATAAATCATTGCATGTATTTTCTTCTTTAATGGTTTGAAATATACTTAAGTCTCCTAATTTTGTAAGATAAATCTGACATCTTGCAAGATAAATACTGATGCTGATAATTTTAAAAAGCAAGTTCTTTGAGATGCATTTTTAAAATATTTTTCCTCAAAATACTGTGCAAAATTCAATAGCATATTTTAAAGTTTAGTATTAGGGGAGAAGAGGTACCCAGATAAATGAGAAAAAGGTAGAAAAATTTTATAATTACTTTGAAGTGTTTTGGTAATGATATCATTTACCTTTGTGAAATAAATCATTTTGAAAATGAATATAATTATTGTTATAATGGAAATATAACAAGATTCCTCAAGAAAGGAAAAAAATTACAAAGCTTTGCAATCAGAAGTCTTAAGATGGATAATCGTGTATTACAGTAAGTTTTCCCCATCTTGATTTCTTTACCACATAGCAAGACATTTTATAGAGGTGGTGGGGTGGGGATAAGGGAACTCATATGCAGTGGGTGAAGGTGAGAAGAAACTGATAATTTAACAAAATATTTAGAAGCAGTTTCTCAACTTAAGTTAAAGCCACTACTTTGACTTTGGGGTTATCTCAGGACCAGTAAGTATACACTCTAATACATGAAACAAAACTAGAAGCTATACTTAGAATGTAGTCTTTGTTTCTTCTTTCTTCAAAGCCTATGTTTCCTAATATCATCGTTAGGCAAAGCAAAAAGAAATGTTTGTTCTATTACGTAAGAAATAAACTTCATTTGGTATTCAATTGACTTTCTAACTTAGCAGACAGGACTTTACATCTTCAAATACTGAAAATAAATTGCATTCTTGGCCCTTGCTTTAAAAGGTTAGAGAGAATAAACGCACACCCTGGTAGTGTTCTAGTGATCTCCCTAATCTCAGTTGCACTTTGTCAGAACGAGGTAACTGGTAGTTAAGTGAAATACCCTAGATCAAAGGGGGATTAATCACCAACTGAATCCGTACTGAATAAACCTGTCATTCAAGAAAATTATTTCCACTGAACTTAGCAGAGGATTGAAGGTATTTGCATAACAGGGACCAACGTACTTCAGCCAGGTTAAAAGGTTCAGAATTCATCCCATGTTTAGCTTTTTGCCTCCTTTTCCTTTCAGCAGCATGGTACAATGGTTTCTAATCTGATAATACAGCTAACTATCTAAATGATGTCAGAACAGGAAAGTATTGCAAAGTTTGGATGAGGGATGGATCAATTTCACTTTCAGTAACTCCTAAATCTGATTTGTTGGAATTTAAGATGTAATCCTAAAAAAGTCCCTTAAACCTGAGGACTGTTTATTAACATCCCTTTTTTGACCTTTGTCTTAGGAACAACCATTCTGCTGTAGCAGCAGTCCCTGCAAAGGTTCTGGATGATAATTCCACCTACCTACTCCTCCTAAGGGGAGTAGTGTGGGAGTCTATGAATATCTATGAAGTATTTTGAAATACTACAATGAAAACTAGAAGAAAAGTATTAGTGGTTGTTATTATGCATAAAATGTCTGCTTTGACATATATCAAATTATATAATATAGAGAACAATAATTTTAACCCAATGGAAATGTTGAGTTGGTGTGAAAAAATTATTGCATGGGACAGACTGATCATTAATTAAAAAAAATTTTTAAACAAATAATTCTAAGAGAATTATTTACTTCAGGCTATTACTTCAAACTTGACATTTAAATCAACTATTTATGAGCACTGTATGTGACCACTGTAAGAGTATTGCCTAACTACTATACTGCTGGCTTTCAAGTTTTAAAAATATTGTTTAGTAAAAAAATGAAGAAAAAAGAGTTTCACCAAAATCATGAACCATTTTTTCTGAAGTTCCTTCTCAGAAATTTAACACTTTTTTAAAACACCTTTTGAGTTTACTGAAGAATTATTACCCATATGATAGACATCAGACTTCATAATCATATTTTGGCACTAAAAGAGAATTTAGCAATTTTGCATCTAGAGGTCTGACACCATCCAAATCTTTCACAAGAAGTAGTTGCTCATATTCACTGCAAACGCAAAGCATCTTTCAAGTTAAAAAATGCAAAGAATAGTTATCAAAGAAAATGAATAAAATCCATAGTGAGATAATTTTTTAGAAAATGATTGAAGTTTTAACCCAAGAAAGGACTCTTAGAGTGTCTTATAGCTTAGAATAAGAACGTGTCAATCACGATTAAGCTTCTGGAATCGGAATCCCTTTGAAATGCAGCTGTTTCTTCTTTAATTGTGGCAGCAGACTCTGAAGAAAAGAAAGGTCCAGCCTTAAAGATGAGTAAGGAATACAAAATAGCTCAGGATTAGTTGTGGAGTTCAAAGGTCGCTAATTACACTAAGGAGTTCCCAGACACAGGGAAAACATTAAACAGGTCACCTACCAAACGGGAAACAGACTTTGTCTTCAGAAATTATCCTGAAGTGACAGGTTTCTAGACACACCAAAAGCATCACAGTGTGCCCAGCTGATCTCAATGGGATGAAAACAGGAGTTGGTTTAGTTCTGTAGTGTCTGAATTTCAGAATGGCAACAGATGGCATCAGGTTCCTCAAACCCCTATATTTGCCACTACTCCCTAGGTTTTCCTCAGGTTTCTAGAAATGTCAAACTGAAGTCACTGGTTTTCCTCATTGTTTATAAAGAAAGTTTTGCCAAAGGGATTATTATATAGACTACCTACTAGTACATAAATGACTCTTGCCCACCTTTAGTGTATTTTGCTAAATATCTATACAATCAAGATTTCTAAATGGTTCCATTAATATTAATACAAGTGAAATGTTAAGCTTTCTGGGTTTAAGAGAGATCAAATAACTTAGGGGGAGTGATACTTTCTTCTTTCAAAAGGAAAGTTTTTACTACTGATTATCTATGATTAAGCTAGAATAACAAGTTAAAGTCCTGGTCAGGCAGTTATTCTCTTTTCTGTTACTTGGGATAATTTTGAACATAGAACCTTAGGCCATGATAATGCTTTGCAGAAAATGAGAGTTTATAATGAGTAGGATTGACCTTAATTAAAAAATCATATTTTAAATCCTAAATTTATATGCGCTATCCTTTCAAACTATCACAGCTCTCTTTCAAGGAGTTAGCAGCTTTTTCTAAGCTTTTCCTTAGGAGATTCATTAAAAAACAGAACTGAAGCTATAACTGAATTGAATATTAATCTGTAATGCATATTTTTTATAATGCTTCTATTCTATTTTAAAAAAATAAAAAGTTAAAAACCTAAAAACCCCAAAAAACCTTGACATGAACTAAATTCTGAGGATCTTGAGATTCCATCTTTTCTTGAATGGTCATTTAAAGTTCAGCTTGACAATGAACTACTCTGAAAATAGAAGGTGACATATAATTGAGACACAAGTAGAGAATAAAGAAGATGACCAGATGGTTTCTGAAGAAATTGAAAGAATGGTTATAAGAAAATGAGTGACAAATTTAGGGAAAATGTGTTACAGAAGACTGAAATAAGTTTAAATGATACTCCACTCACAGAGTGCTTTTGATTTTTTTACTCAAACTTATCCACTAATAAATTTAAATTTAACAAAACATAGAAAAAACAATACTATATGTAAATTATCTTAAAAGTTTGGCTATAGACATTGAATAATCACAAAACACTATGCTCATCTTCTGAAGAAATCCTACTCATCTTAATATGCCTTTTGACATCCTAAGCAAAATGTTACTATGGTATATTAACAAGCTTACTTTAAAAGTATCTCTAGAGAAAAATACCTTAAATAGAATTATGCAGATTCTGTTAGTCAATAGGATAATTCTGATTAAGTATACTATTTAAGCAACAATCCTTTGTCACCATTGGCTGTGTTTCTAATGCAGTCTCTGATATGCTATAACCATAAACTATACTTAGAGCTTAGTACTTAGGTTTGGAAGGGCAAATATAACAGTTTTTTTTCTTGCTCATTATGTCGAATCCACTGGGAGGTGCGCTTGAAGGTCTGCATTGAGGAGTTTGAGCCCTTATCCAGGAAGGCTCAGTATTCAAAGAAGGCTGTGATTGATTAGTTATGTCTGCCATAGGGCAGGAAGGAACATGTGTGGCAGGCAGATCTAGGACTTGTCTAAAATAAGCTAAAATGAGTCACCACTTTTGTGTATTCTTAATCATACTGGTATAAAATCAAAGGATAACAAAATTGGAAACACTAGCCTTTAAAATGTCCTTTACTGTATCAGACAAAAAATATTAAGAGTGTTTTTATCTTTTTTGAGAGTTTTTTTTTTTTTTTTTTTTTTTTTTTTTTAGGGGGCGCGGGCTTTTCACAAAAAGAAAGCGAGAAATCACCCCCAGTGGGGGATGGACACGCTGCAATCCCTTCTCTTCCATTCTCCTCTCGGGATCTTGGGCTCGCATGTACACACGCCCAGTGTGAGTTTAAGTCACCAGGTCCGGGACTTGAACCACAGTTGACTACATGGGAGTCCAGCGATATAGCCATTATGCCAACTGCTGGTCCCAAGAGTGATTTTATAATTAAGTCATCCGATGATTTTTTTTCCCTCCCACTCAATGGTTATATGCATTTATTAAAAATAAGGCTATGATTTCAATGAAGCTATGTTTTCACTATATAAATTCCATTTAAATGTGAGAAAATTATAGTAATAATGATCCATATGTTACTGGAGCAGGGGCTTTAGAATTCCAGATGTAATAATCAGAAGAAATTAGTTTCCGGTCTAAAAAAAGAAAAAAAAATGAGATTAATGGTAAGACAACTGTATCTTAACAAAAATTTAAGAAGGGAGCAAAGTCATGATTTCTTCAAATTATGGAAAGCAATCATTTCAAGTTAATATTTTGAAATATTCATTTTAATTCTACTTTATCAAGGCTTTATTATAACTTTTACCGCTTAACAAATATGGGCTCATTCAATACTTAGACAATTTATCTCTGAGCTTGAGAGATGCTTCACTTATGCCACGTCTGTTTCTGGTGGACTATTACTTCAACTTCTAAAACATTAAACACTGTTTTTTGGTTTCCTTTCTGTAATCTTTACACCATGGTCTTGATTCTGGTCTTCCTGTTCTTCACCCATTCAAAGTGTCAGAGATAATCAACACTCAGCTTTCTAGCAACATTCTAAATAGGTTGCTTCCTTAGTTTTCAATGATATATTCTAATCAAATTTAAGTCTTTTGCTTTAGTAGCCTTGAAACCTTAGACAAATGCTACCCTCTTTGAGCTCAATTTTTCAGGTTTGTAAAATTGATATAAAAGGGGCCAGCAGGTGGCATGGTGGTTAAGGGAGCTAGAATCCCACATGGCTGACCACAGTTCAAGTCCTGGACCTGGCGGCTTACTTCCTTGCTTTCTCTCTCCCTTGCTTGCTCACTTGCTTGCTCTGTTCCTCTCTGGTTAAATTAAAACATAAGTAAATGAATAAAGTTAAATAAAATTATTCGCTTTTTTCTTTTGAGAGTTATTTGCTATAAAGCACATGCGCTCGCCAGCCAGACAGAGACAGAGAGACAGAAAGTGAGAAATCATTCCCCGGGGGGATGGACACACCGCAGTCCCTTCTCCTTCATTCTCCTCTCAGGATCTTGGGCACACACGCACAAGCGCCTGGCATGAATTTAAGCTGCCGGGTCTGGGACTCGAACTGCGATCGACTACGTGGGAGTCCAGCGACATCGCCATTGCGCTAACTGCTGGTCCCCAAATAATTCTTTAAAAGACCAAAAAAAATGATATAACAGAAGGTTATTAAGGCACTGGACTCCCTCATGGCTCACTGCGGTTCAAGTCCTGGACCTGGTGGCTTAAAAATCACACTAGGTGCATGTGTGTGAATGCCCAAAATCCCAAGAAGAGAATGGAGGAGAAAGAATGGGGGCACAGCCATCTCCCCTAGGATGTGAAGTCTCACTCTTCTTCTCTCTCTCCAGAAAGTGCACGTGTTCGATGACCAAAAAAAAAAAAAAAAAAAGATATAATAATGCTTATTTGCAGTTAGACATACAAATTCTTCTTACGTATATTATTAAATATCCAATTCAGTCTTTTATACCTTTCTTCTTCCTGCCTTTCTTCATAATGGCAAGAATATAGTGTGGTGTATGTATATAAAATCTTCTTTTTAAATTTCAGAACCTAGTAATATTTAGAGGCAATGCACCATATTGTTAAACAGACAGGCTCCATAGCCAATAGCTCAAGTATGAGTCCCAGTTCTGCCATTTACTAGCTATGTGACCCTAATCTCTCATTCTATCAGTGTCCACATTTGTAAAATGGAGATAGTACTTACAGTGGGACTGGGAAGATTAATGAGCTGATATACACAAAACACTTAAGACTATGCCTAGCACACAGCAAGCAATAAATGTTAGGTACTATCATTTAAATTAGCATCATTGTCAAACTATTTTCAGAAGTTGTATATTGTGAATATAAATTTTATTGTCAAAATTACAGAAAATAAAGGCTTTAAGCAGTTGTATAAATAGCAGTCATATTCTGAAACCAATATGAAGATTGGTTATAATGATCAATTTAAAATGAGCTCTTTATCCAATATAGTTTATTTCAAGCAGCAGATATAACTTCCATCCTATATGAAAATTATAGCAATTTTAGTCAGTATTAATAAAATACTTGAAATAGTTTAGATATTACCTGTAAAGATGATATATTTCCCATAGATAATCTAGAATGTGGTCTATTTACACTGAGATAAAACCACTAGTTTATTCAGTGTTATGGCTTCATAAAAAATGTAAATATTCTCCCAATTAACTTACTGAAAGCAGGAAATTTTCTATATGGCTCTCTTGGCAGAACAGAGAAAGTGATACATAGTTTTTATTGACTACAATATATACTAAAAACATTTTCAATTTTTTAATAATAATATCTAATATCAAATCCATGTGAAGCACTTATTCAATATAATCTTATTTAAAGCTCATAATAATCCTAAGAGGTAAATAACACTATCATTTCCATATCATAGATGAGGAAACTAAAACTTAGGTTCATGAACTTACCCAACATTACACAGCTAATGAAATACTGGAGCCAGATTCAAACTCTTACTCTATCCAGCACCGAAGACCTACTACTACCACTGTATAAAACAGTTTATTACAACCAGACAGAACAAAGTAAATTTAACTTCTACTAAAGCACCTCTATATCTCAATCCTTGTTGCTCATCCAGACCCTTTTATACACAGGAGAAGGCAGAGAAAGGGTCATGTGAAGTTCACAAACTGTTATGCAGGGTGAGTTGAAGCCAGAATTTTATAAATTGGGCTTACTCCCCAATCTTTTAATTCTGTTAATTTAAAATTTACCTTAGGTAATAACTGCACATCATTTTAATTCCCTTAAGTTAATTTGAATCTGTACAACTTACGTGTACTTATTTTTGGTTTTCCTGATGCAAAAACTTGAACTGAATGCTGATCCGCATAACACCCAGTGAGTGTGTAATCTAAGATCTTAAAATGAAGCTAGAAAAAGGAGAGAAATATACTGAGTTAAGGTGGCTATTTGTCAAAAAATCTGGTCACATCTTTTCCCTTACTTTCAAAGAATTTATCACACACAGTTCACAAAATGAAAACCATTAATACTGAACCTGAATTGCATGTGTGGATACATGCTGATACTCACACACACTTTTTTCCTCCTTGCATTTCTTTGTAAAGGCTGCCACTATAAACACATAACAGCCATCTCACTAACATAAACTCCAATCCACACTCCAAGGTATTTCCACTTTACGAAGTGGAGAACTGAAGTTCAGTGTGGAAGCAAATAGCATCCCAGCATGTAAACAGTGAGCTGGTATTTCAACTCAAGCTGGTGTCCCTTTCCCTATGCTGTCTGACATACTGTACCATCTCTTCCACACCTAGGGTATATTTTAGATCATTATTCCTTTACAGGCAGGAACACAAACACCTTTTAGTGAAACACAAGAAAAATGCTACTAAACAAACACATCAGTTTATTTGCTATTTGGGGCAAGAAGCTGCTCTACTTAATTGTCTAGAAAACTAAAATTGAACTCTATAGAACTAAGCTTAGAAGTTACTCCTTCTGGGGCCAGCAGGTGGTATAGTGGTTAAGACGCTGGACTACACAGCCGACTGTGGTTTGAGTCCCGGACCGATGGCTTGAAATTTATGCTGGGCATTTGTGTGTATGTGTGTGTGTGCCTGTGCCCAAAATCCCAGGAGGAGAATGGTGAAGGAATTGAGCCATGGCCATCCCCTATGGTGGGTGATTTCTCAATTTCCCTCCCACAGTCTCTCTTTCTCTGGCAAGTGTATATGCCCTAACTTTAGGCCAAATCTTTAAAAAAAATAATAAAGAAAGAAGTTACTCCTAAGTCAGCTTTGTGGCTCAGTGGTGAAGGGAGCCAGATCCCATAGGGCAGCTTGAAAAATATGCTGGGCATATTCTGACAGGATAGAGCAATGGAGAAGACGAGATTGAAGTGCTTTCTACTCCCCCACCACCTGGTCTCTTTCTGGAGAGTGCATACACCCTCTGGCAATTAAAAAAAGAATAATAAATGAATTATTACTGGTATATTTCTGACTTCACTACCACTTCCCCTGAGTTTATGCATTGATTTTAATCTCTCTCTTTTTTTTAAGAGAGATTTTTGCTATAGGGCGCATATGCTTGATGGAGACACTGAGAAAGGCAGAGAAATAGAAAGCAAGAAATTATCCCCCAGGGGGATGGCCATACTCTCCTCTCAGCACTTTGGGTATGCATGCATGCATTCCTGGCATGTCTTTTAAGCCACTGGGTCCTGCACTCAAACCCTGTTGGTCACATGGTATCCAGTCACTCCAACCTCCATGCCATCTCCTAATGAAGAATGAAAAACAACTTCAACCAAGAATTCTATACCTGGCAAGATTATCCTTCATATGGGAAGAAAAGACAAAAACATTCTCCGACAAACAAAACCTGAAAGACTTTACAAACACCAGTCCAGCTCTCTAAGAAGTTCTTCAAGAGTGCTATACCAGGAAAACTAAAGACAGACACACAGAAATAAAAGTCCAAAAAACAACTAAGAAAATGGCCAACTTAATGGTAGGGACAAGTCTGGAACTGAATGTTAACTTCCAGAATTTAGACAGAAAGATCAGACCACAAACAGAAAGAGACATTAATAACATGAGACTGAACTGGTGAAATAGAATTTATGACTTTTGACTAAAATATGACTGATTTTCTTCTATGCTTTGTTTTCCAGACTTAAGGTTTTTTGTATTCTCTTGAGCTATTGATAGGTTCATCTACCTACTATATAAACAGAATCCTAATCTTTTTCCTGCCTTTAAGTCTTAAGCAAATTTATCTTAACATTTTATGATTTTAATTTATTAAAGCTAAAACTGTAAGCTATATAACCTCAGCTAGGTGCTACTTTATAGTATGTTCATTCTACTCACTGAGTTTTATACCTAAAGTCAAACATGTTCACAGATATGTATATATCAGCTAAACTTGGTACTGAAAGTATTTAATTAAGATTTATTTTTGTACATCAACAAAATGTGGAAAAAAAAAACACAAAGGAACGGATTCTAATGTAATAAGCCATACCAATAAGTTTACCTTTAAATATGCTGTACCTCCAATACAAATCTGGTCAAATGGCTGCTTCTCTTGATTCTTGGTTCCAAACGTTATAGTTCCAGAAAGATTGATTTCCATTGATTTTGGAAACTTCTGGCCTAAAAACAAATGCATCTATCAACTATTCTAAGTTAAGTAGATTGTATAGCAAATGAAATGAAAAAAAAAAAAATCAACAAACAAAACCTTGCTTACCAATAACCCAGATTAATAAGCTTTTCTCTCGAAATACTTCAAGCTGGCCAAAACTAATTTTGTATTCCAAATGTGTAATTGGACCTCTTTAAAAAAGAAAATGACAAAAATAGAAAAAAAAATGATTACAGATAAGGAATTCTAAGAAATTAAGTTAAACCCTCCTCCTACTACTATTTAATACCAGATGGTATAAAAGTAGATCTGTTTTCAAGTTGGTAGAACAAATAGAACAAATAACAAATACTGTAACACACATCAAACAAACAAACAAACAAACAAACAAAAAACAAAAAAACAAACCTAGAAACCACATAAACATTTTTGGTGATGATATACATTTAATTATTTTTCCTAAAGGCAGTGATATAATTATATAGACTGTGCTAACAGAGTCATATGGACTGACATATTATGAAAATAACTATGCTGCAGAATAAATTGAAAAGTATAACTGATGAGGTAACAATTTTAAGATACAATTAACTAATTTACCAGGTTGTTGACCACTGGGGCTTGTTTTGTACAGAGCCCACAGAAAATGATAGAAATTAAGCTGACAGTAAAATAATCCTTGAGGAAGCTACACTTAATTTACTAGCAAGTTTAATTGAAAAGAAAAAATGAAGACTCATTTGAAGGTAAAGTGATCATTTTATGACTGTGTTTTGGCTTAACATCAGCGTTAATTTAGGGGCCAGCAGGTGGCATGGCAGTAAGGTCCTGGACTCCCACATGGTTCACTGTGATTTGAGTCCTGAACCTGGTGGCTTGAAATCATTCCAGGCACACGTGTGTGTGTACCCAAAATTCCAGGAGAAGAAGGGAGTGCAGCCCGGCCATCCCCTCTGGAGGGGAGGGGTGACTTCTCACTTTCTTTGTCACTGTCTCTGTCAAGCGCATGTACCCTACGGCAAAACCTTAAAAGAAAAAATAAAACCACACACATTAGTTTGAATAACTAATTAGTTATTAGACTAGTTAGATTTTTAAAAATAGTTATTTAATTTTATTCACTTGTTTTAATTTGACCTGAGACACACATGCAGAGAGAGAGAGAGAGAGAGAGAGGGAAAGTGAGAAAGCAAGCCACCAGGTTCAGGACTGGAACTATGGTCGGCCATGTGGGAGCATCCAGCACCTTAACCACCACACCACGTGTTGGTCCCCGAATTAGTTAGATCTTACAAGGTTTAAATAGGCAAATAATTTACCATGGGGCAGTGGAAATACATCAAGGAAGGTAGAAATCATACTTTTCATTATATTATTTATTCCTACCTATTGTAAAAGGGTATATGAGCTTCACAAAATTCAAAATTATTTTTCACACTTTCATGAAGTTTTAAATTAATTGCTATTTTTAGTTGTACTTCTTCCTCTTTCACTTGATAAAAACCCAAAATTGGTGGGACAGGGACCTGGAAACAAACATAAACAAACTTTTATACAATTCTCAGGTTTTGGGTCTAAAATACTACTGGTGATTGAAAAAAACAAAACAAAACAACCCTAACAGTAATGTGCATTATATATATTGTGTGTGTGTACATGATAGTCTTTATATACAGATATGGCCTTTAATGACTGATGGGTTATTACTCCATATTGTTTTGATTTACAGAAGTGATAATCTACATTTCATTCTCGGTGCAGGGATTCTGTTGCCAGAGATAAAAAGGTGACTTACAAAGGTATACTATATATTCTTGTTCCTATCATTACTTGTCTTTGCTCTATTCCTTTAGGTTCTCTTATCTGCACAGATTATGAACTGGACATAATGATTATTGCTGCCTTACCCACAGTTCCTGCTGCTTCAGCTCACAATCCCTGAGTTCAACAACAGTTTATTCAATTGATCATCACTGATTGAAGTGGAAACAATCTGTAGGCTAGGGTGAGCCAATCATTTTTCGGGGCATCTCAAGTAAGACACAGACTACTTACTTATACAGTATAGGTCCTAGAGGTGTAAGATCATGTGGAATATGAGATCAGTTGAAAGAGGACATGGAGAATAAATTTGAGACAGACAGCATGGCACTTGAATACAGAGTAAAAATCACTCTATATTAAAATAATTTTAATTTTCTGGTTTTCGTCTCAGTACAACTTGGTCTACTTTTCTTACCTTCAATACAGTGAGACTGTCTTTTGCATTCTCAAAATAAATTTCCTTACGCTAGCTTGAATAGATTTTGCTAACCTACTAACTCACAATGAAGACATGAAATAAATAGTACAGGAGAAAAGAGGGTGGGCTTTGGAAATCTGGAATATTTGGGTTCAAATACAGGAGCTGCCCTTGTGCAAGTCATTAAACTCTCTGGGAACTTTCCTTGTCAGTACAGTGGGGGATAATACCTACCTTAAGGATTGCTAATTAGTACTACACAAAATACATGTGAAGTGCCTAGGACAATGACTCAAACTAGTTATTCTATAAGCAGTAAGTTGCTATTAATAATAATAATATATACATTTGTAACTAAGGTTGCCTGAGACTAGAGGTATTTTATGTTCATGATTAAAATCATGACTAAATCATACCAGCATCTATCCTGTAACCATGTACTCCTTATGCAAAAACATTAAAAGGGGTTAGCAAGTGGTGTGGTGGTTAAAGATGCTGGACTCCCACATGGCCGATCATGGTGTGAGTCCTGGACCGGGCAGCTTGTTTTCTCACTTTCCTTCTATTTTTTTAAAATTTTTTAATTAAAAAAATAAAATTGAATAAAATACTTCAAAAAAATTTTTTAAAATTAATGACTTTGAAATGAGTACTATATATGCCAGAGAAAAAAGAAATGAATCTTCATTTTTATTTATCAACTATCATCTTATAAATAATTCATGAATTCTCATTTGGACGAAGAGTACAAATGATTTGCTTATCAACAGTACAACAGATTTGTAATCTCACTGTATCGAAGGTAAGAAAAGTAGACTACGTTGTACTGAGACTAAAACCAGGAAATTAAAATTATTTTAATATAGAGTGATTTTCACTCTGTATTCAAGTGCCATGCTGTCTGTCTCAAATTGTACTGTTGATAAGCAAACACAGTACTTATAAATATAAAGATTAATAAAGTTTCAACTTTTCCATGGTTGCTTACCTGGGAAGTATAGTGGCACAAGTTGAATGATTCTAAAGGTGGAGTGAATGGAAATTTATAAGGCCCACTAAATGCAGAATCATCCATTGCATCAATGCTACTAGAAGTAAGAATGGCAGAGTCAAGAGAAGTCACGCAAGGATGAACTAGAATATCTTGAAGTGGAGATCCATTGGTGGGGAGACTCAAGCTGATGGTAACATTTGGCATGACTCCTTCCAAATCACACTGCGATACAAACGAGCAATTATTACCAAGATCTCAGAAGCATTTAACTTGTGCTTGAGCTGTTTTTTTGAATTTATCAGTCATTTTTCTCTAATTTAATTCCTCTTTCTCAGCATTATACTCCTCACCTTCTGTGTTCTGATGAATGGTTTTATGCTGTCAGATACCCAAGTCAGAGAGACCAGAAGACTTTTTATACAAGGGTACTTAAAAAAGTTCATAAAAAAAAATTAATATGAGTTAATTTTGGTGTAAAAAAACGAAACACATGCATGGTTTTTTTCATAGGAGTGTTTTCCATGACCTTTTGAGGATCCTGTATCACCAACGCTGGTTACCTCTAAAACACTTTTTAAAAAGGTATTTTAAATTCACTGACTTCTCCCCATTCCTTTTTGCAACCACACTGCTGTAGCTTTTACGGTTTCTGTTACAGTTCTCTGAATACAGCATGGCACTTGAATACAGAGTAAAAATCACTCTATATTAAAATAATTTTAATTTTCTGGTTTTCGTCTCAGTACAACTTGGTCTACTTTTCTTACCTTCAATACAGTGAGACTGTCTTTTGCATTCTCAAAATAAATTTCCTTACGCTAGCTTGAATAGATTTTGCTAACCTACTAACTCACAATGAAGACATGAAATAAATAGTACAGGAGAAAAGAGGGTGGGCTTTGGAAATCTGGAATATTTGGGTTCAAATACAGGAGCTGCCCTTGTGCAAGTCATTAAACTCTCTGGGAACTTTCCTTGTCAGTACAGTGGGGGATAATACCTACCTTAAGGATTGCTAATTAGTACTACACAAAATACATGTGAAGTGCCTAGGACAATGACTCAAACTAGTTATTCTATAAGCAGTAAGTTGCTATTAATAATAATAATATATACATTTGTAACTAAGGTTGCCTGAGACTAGAGGTATTTTATGTTCATGATTAAAATCATGACTAAATCATACCAGCATCTATCCTGTAACCATGTACTCCTTATGCAAAAACATTAAAAGGGGTTAGCAAGTGGTGTGGTGGTTAAAGATGCTGGACTCCCACATGGCCGATCATGGTGTGAGTCCTGGACCGGGCAGCTTGTTTTCTCACTTTCCTTCTATTTTTTTAAAATTTTTTAATTAAAAAAATAAAATTGAATAAAATACTTCAAAAAAATTTTTAAAAATTAATGACTTTGAAATGAGTACTATATATGCCAGAGAAAAAAGAAATGAATCTTCATTTTTATTTATCAACTATCATCTTATAAATAATTCATGAATTCTCATTTGGACGAAGAGTACAAATGATTTGCTTATCAACAGTACAACAGATTTGTAATCTCACTGTATCGAAGGTAAGAAAAGTAGACTACGTTGTACTGAGACTAAAACCAGGAAATTAAAATTATTTTAATATAGAGTGATTTTCACTCTGTATTCAAGTGCCATGCTGTCTGTCTCAAATTGTACTGTTGATAAGCAAACACAGTACTTATAAATATAAAGATTAATAAAGTTTCAACTTTTCCATGGTTGCTTACCTGGGAAGTATAGTGGCACAAGTTGAATGATTCTAAAGGTGGAGTGAATGGAAATTTATAAGGCCCACTAAATGCAGAATCATCCATTGCATCAATGCTACTAGAAGTAAGAATGGCAGAGTCAAGAGAAGTCACGCAAGGATGAACTAGAATATCTTGAAGTGGAGATCCATTGGTGGGGAGACTCAAGCTGATGGTAACATTTGGCATGACTCCTTCCAAATCACACTGCGATACAAACGAGCAATTATTACCAAGATCTCAGAAGCATTTAACTTGTGCTTGAGCTGTTTTTTTGAATTTATCAGTCATTTTTCTCTAATTTAATTCCTCTTTCTCAGCATTATACTCCTCACCTTCTGTGTTCTGATGAATGGTTTTATGCTGTCAGATACCCAAGTCAGAGAGACCAGAAGACTTTTTATACAAGGGTACTTAAAAAAGTTCATAAAAAAAAATTAATATGAGTTAATTTTGGTGTAAAAAAACGAAACACATGCATGGTTTTTTTCATAGGAGTGTTTTCCATGACCTTTTGAGGATCCTGTATCACCAACGCTGGTTACCTCTAAAACACTTTTTAAAAAGGTATTTTAAATTCACTGACTTCTCCCCATTCCTTTTTGCAACCACACTGCTGTAGCTTTTACGGTTTCTGTTACAGTTCTCTGAATACATCCAGACTGCTTTCTTCTGGTTTCCTTTGGTTCTGTATTACTTTTAAAGACTTTCACTGTTGGGTTCCCATCTACCTCTTTCATCATTTTCTACCACGCAACTTATGCTGTAGACATACTGATTCTTACATCTTTCTGAATAAATCACTGTCTTATAGTATCATGTACAATGTAAATGCTATTCCCTCTAGCTACAGTGTTTTTCTTCCTGTAAACACTTCATTCTTCACGTCTTACCTCATTTAGCCTTACATTCTGTGTTTTTACCACTATAGACTCTATGTGCCATGAAGAGAAACTCAGGATCTTCTTCCACTATGTGGTCTGAATTAGTTTGCCAATAAGAGCTACTTAGAAGAGATTTTGAAAGGAGAAAGGAAACAGAAGCCATTATTCTTAGGAGGTCATAAAAGCTAAATTATGACAGGTTCACGGAGATGGCACTCTTGTAGACCTTCCCTTGAATTCCAGCTTTGAGGATGTAAAGGACACTGCAGCTTCTCAAACTTCTCTGTGAACTTTGCTTTGTTTACTTACTACTCCAGCTTTCAGAATGAAGTCATTAGTGACTATTTCTGTAAGCACAGCCAATATTTCCCCAGCTCCTCTTTAACTGAATAAGCTGTAATTCTTACATTAAACACCTTTTCTCCTATAAATCTTGTTAGTGGCATTTTCTGACCCAACCAGACTTACTTGTGTGTATAAGCTAGAAGTCACAGCTCTCTTTGTACCTCAACTCTAAATTGGTGTTTACTTTTTAAAACACTGGATCAAGCTGGCTGATTGAACCATATACAGGCTTAGCAAGAGATATCTATCTATATATAGCTATATAGATAGATATATTTTAGTTGAACCTAGCAGGCATAATGCTTAATTCTAAATGCACTATTATATATGCAGTCTGCACCATGCATTAACCTATAGGTATTTTTGTCTCTCTGTTTCCCTCTTAATGCTTAAAGTTCTTTAAAACCAAAAAGTGTTGTTATACTTTTCTTTATGTCTCCAGTGCCTATACCACCTTGCAATCTGTGACATACTCAAAAAGTGATTGTTGCGTAGTTGGTTATCTTTTACTAATTATACATCTTACTTTTGTTTTAAATTCTAATATGAAGTGTTTCACTGTTTTTTTTTTTTAAGAGGTTTTTGCCTTGTGGCATGTGTGCACACTGGAAGAGAGAGGAACAGACAGACAGAGAGGGAAAGTGAGAAATCACACCCTGGGAGGATGGCCATGCTGCAATCCCTTCTCCTCCATTCTCCTCCCAGGATCTTAAGCATGCATACACACCCAACAGGTGTGATTTTTAAGCCACTGGGTCTGGGACTCGAACAGCAGTCACCCATATGGGAGTCCAGTAATGTAACTGCTATGCCATCTACTGGTCTCTCACTTTGTTTTATCTACTGCTTGACATATATATGAATTCATAAATGTACTTGCAACACAGTATAAACATTTAAAGAGCAGGGAGCCATTATGACCAGTATCACATGTATAATTAGTGTCTTATATTTGTCTTCCAGTGACAGTTATGATGTCAATTACACTGAAAATAAAAACACCAAAATAAAGATTAATAAAGTTTCAACTTTTCCATGGTTGCTTACCTGGGAAGTATAGTGGCACAAGTTGAATGATTCTAAATAAAAACACCTTACTAAAATAGTTTAAAACAGATTTTACTGATCCAACTTTTAAGTCATCTGTTACTTTACGTGAACTAGTAAGAATAAATGAGTAGTTTTGTTCTCTGATAGATTTTTAGAGATAATGAGCAAACATTAATGATAACTACTATTAATGTTAAAAATATTTGGTCTATGCTTATTACATTATCTGCTAATAGTCTTTTTTTTCTTTTCTTTCTTTTTTTTTTTTTTTTTTTTTTTTAAAGTTTACTGTAGAGCATGTGTGTTCATAAGACAAAGAAAAAGAGAAATCATCCCTGGGGGGGTAGATGGCCACACCACAATCCGTTCTCATCCATTCTCCTCTGAGGACTTTGGGCATGCATGGACATGTGTCAGGGGTGATTTTCAAGCCACCAGATTTGGGACTTGAACTGCAAAGTAGACCATGTGGGATCCAGCTGCCTTAACCTCCTTGCCATCTGCTGGCCCAAGGGTCAGAGAAACAGCAATCATAAAACCACCAACAAATTATCCCCTATTTAGACACTTAAACTGCTGGATTATCAGTCACTTACCATATCCATCCTATGAATAGAAGGAATTTGTATACAACTCTTGTTTTTTAGAGGGTTTTGCCATAGTGTGTGTTTGCTTGCTGGAGAGACAGAGACAGACAGTGAGAGGGAAAGTGAGAAATCACCCCCCAGGGAAGATGACCACACAACCACATGCATCAATCATGACTGCTATGCAACCAGGTCCAAAACTCAAGCCAGTCAGCCATGTGGGAGTCCAGCGACATAACCACTACGCCATCTGCTGGCCCCATGTATACAGCTCTTTAAACCAAACTGGCACATGTAAATCTGGCCCTTAGAACTAGAGAGTAGAAAAATAGAAGGCACTTAAGAGTTTATTGCCTTTTTTTTTTTTAGGTTTTTGCCATAAGGCACATGCACTCCTAGAGAAAGACAGAGAGAAGGAAAGTGAGAAATCAGACCCCAAGACCTTTTTAAAGTGAGGAAAGATTCACATACTTGCGTGACTTTTCCAAAGATAGAAAACTAGTGGACCAAAAGTTTAGTTTATTGGGTTCACCAGGCTTTCTATTGGATAAGGACAAGATGAAGATAATTTATTTTTTATTTACAGTAAGCTTCATAATAAAACTTCTCAAGTGCTTAAAAATTACATGGCTAACAGACTATTTATATTCAACTTTACAAAACATAGTACATAGCTATATTCCTATCTTTTTAAAAAAAAGTTTACTTATTTCTTCCATGAGCAGAAAGAGAGGGGCACCCCCAACAGGGTTTTCATGCTGTTATCTAAACCCCAGCTGGCCAGGATCATTTGCATGCCATGTGTGCCCAGATTGCACAGGGAGCCGTGGGGATATGAACCTAGGACCTTTCCATATGACCTCAGCACCGTGGAGCACTGAATCACCACTGTACCACTACAGCAATCTCCCTCAACCATTTACTTAGAGGTTTTTTTTTTTTTTTTAATTTAATTTTTTTTTTTTTTTAAATCACAGCAATTATTGAGAACACCATTTTGGCAAGATATAGTATCATCAAAAGAATGTAACTGAATCTTATGTTGAAGGGCATCGAACCATGGCTGACCATGTGGGAGTCCAGTGCCCTTAACCACCATGTCACATGCTGGCCCCAGAATAAAGTTTTACTAAAGAAAAACATTCTCCATCATGATAATCTATGAGGACTAAAAATAGGATCAATCAAAAATTGCTATAAGCACTAAGCCAGCATCAGTCTATTTACTGAGATATTTAAATGTTATATTAATTAGCATTATATTACATATAACATATCCCATTTACTGCCTTAAAATAAAAACCAGAAATGGTAAATTTTCATACTTTTATTTCATTGGACCTCCTTTTTTAAAAAGAATTATTTTATTGAACTTTTTTTTAAATTTATGTATTTATTAACTTTAATTTGACCAGAAAGGAAAAAGAGAAAGAGAGAGAGAAAGCAAGCCTCCAGGTCCAAAATCTGAACTGTGGTCACCCACGTGGGAGTCCAGCGTCCTTAACCACCAAGCCACCTGCTGGCCCCTATTTCACTAAATTTATGAGAAAAAAGTTCAACTACTTAAAAGACTTATAAATGACATAATCTATTAAGACCTCAATTTTGGAGTGATTTACAACAGCTCTTTCTAATAAAATGAAAAACTCAAATGTATTTTTGACCATGACTGAAATGAGTTTAAAATAAATCCAAAAACTTAGGTATCTTTACATTGAAAAAGGAAAACAAAACAAAGACCTAACTTCTGTCAGGACTGTTCTAATTCTGTTTTTCAATTAGCAATAATCACGCCTCAGATAAACCTCATTGGCTACGATACTGCCACTGCGCAAAGCTCTAATTCTGTTTCTGAAATCCACTTTTAATCATAGGGTTTATACAAAGTAACTCAACATTAAGTCTGATGTACAAAAAGTTATATTCATTAATTTTATTTTTTCGGTTTTCTTTAATGCCAGAGGGTACGTGTATGCATAGGGGCAGGAAAGGGGGGCAGAGAAGCCTGACCATCTTGCAATCCTTTTTTCCTCCAATTCTCTATCCCATCAGGACCCTGATCACATGCATGTCCACCCAGCATGTTTTTCAAACCTCCGGGGCTAGGAGGCTGATCTCGGTTCGTCACATGGGATCCACCTTCTTCTGTGTAACACTAAATCCTGGGGCCAGCCCTAGGCTACATTCATAATTGCAAAGAATAAAGGAGGCTATCAGAAAAATAAAGACACCTGAGAATACTATAAATATAGACTTACTTAGAAAGTTTACTTAGAGATTTTTTTTTTTTGGCCAGGAGACATATACACTTGCCAGAGACAGACAGAGAGACAGAGAAAGGAAGAAGCAACCCTCAATGGGGCATGGTCACACTGCAATTCATTCTCCATTTCTCCATCTTGTTGGGCTTTGGGGTATGTGGCCATGCCTAGAATGTTTTTCAAGCCACTGGGAATGGGATTTGAATTGCGTGGTCAACCATGTGGGATTTAGCTCCCTTAACCACATGAGGCTGGCAGAGAATATTTGATCATTATTCAACATGGCATTAATCATTCCTTACTGTATTATTATTCCCATCACCTTTTCTTTTTACTAACCTTAAATCAGATAACTCTATATTAACCTACTGCCTTGTTTAAATAAAACAAAAACTCTTTGCATCAGCCAGGTAGCACGGTTAAGGCACCTGGATCTCACATGGCTGAGTACCCGGTTCAAGTACCAATCCTGGCAGCTTGAAAGATACATTGGGTGTGGAGTGTGTGTCCATGCATTCCTGCCCCAAATCCCAGAAGAATGGAGGAGAAGGGACTGCAGTGTGGCCTTGAGCCCTGGGGGATGATTTCTCACTTTCTCTCTTTTTCTCTCTCCCCTCTTATGGTGAATGCCAAGTGCCCTATACATGACCTATAAAAAAATAGCTCTTTGAAATGATTTTAATATCACATCAGAGATTTGTCAAGTTTACGCTTCTAGAGAAAATGGAAAATACATGTGGTGATTTAAAAATATGTTCACAAATTGTTTGACCCTACTCTTTCCAAAAGGTGGAGCCTAATTCCATACCCCCTAAATGTGGTTCAGACTTGGTGACTTACTTCTAGTGAATGGAAAGAAGTAGAAGTGATGCTATGTGACCTCTCGGTGTAAGTAATTAAGAATAGCTTCGCATATCTCCTTATCCTTCCTTCCTCTCTTCTGTGAAGCCAGTTCCCAAGTTGTGAAGATATGTAAGCAGTCCATGTAGAAAGGAACTGAGGTCTCCCCTCCACATAACCAGCAGCAACTTGCCAGTCATAAGTGAACCATCTTGCAAGTAGATGTTCCAGAACTAGTCAAACCTTTATACAACTGTAGCCCCTACTGTAATCTACCATGACCCTATAATAGCGTAACACTCTTCACTAGAATCCCTACCTAAGCTATTCTTAAAGTTCTGACCTACAGAAACTCTAAAAATAACAAATGTTTATTTTGGGGTAATGGAACAATTCATTGTACAGCAACAGATAAGTAAAATAACCAGCAAGGCATGCAAAACAATAAGATTATAAAATTTCCCATGACTGGGACAAGCAGGTGGCGTAGTGGTTAAGGTGCTGGACACTCCCACTTGGCCGACCACGGTTTGAGTCCCAGACCTGACGGCTTCCTTTCTCCCTTTCCCTCTCTCTCTCTCTCTGTGTGTGTGTGTGTTTCTCCCTGGTCACCTCTCTCTCTCTCTCTCTCTGTGTGTGTGTGTTTCTCCCTGGTCAAATTAAAAATAAATGAATAAATAAAATTAAATAAATAATAATTAAAAAAAATTCACATGACTATAACTGCTAATGACTACTGCTTAAGATTTAGGAAGTCTTGAGTTCATATCCTGGGGCCTCCCTTTGCACACTGGGCAAGTATATGTGTGCTCATGATGTGGTTTGGCTGAGGCTGGGGGTCAACTGCAGTATGAGAACCCTATTGGGGGTGCCTTTCTCTCATTAAAAAAATAAACTTACAAAGAAAATCAAGAATGCTATTTAACAATGTAAAATACAATTAGCAAGTTTTGCTTTGCTCCATGTGCTAAGTGATACAATAATGCAAATAACAGAGAAAAATCTCACCTTGCAAGTAACTGTTCCAACAACTTGCCAGGTATCTGCTATATCCTGCTTATCATATTGCATGGATTTTACCTTTTCTGTGATGGAAATAGAAACCTGTGGTTTTCCTTTGTACGTTCCAGCTCTCCAGGCTGGCTGTTTTTGTGGGTGAGTCACAGAAGCAAAGTTAATATTATCCAATGAATTCTGGAAGTTGGCATCTAACATAGTGCCAAATGGACATGCCTGTAGAAGTAAGTCAGGTAACTGGTTCAATTTTGCATTTAGCTCACTGTCACTTTTTTGACCCGAGTAAAGAAAATCTTGTATCCCAAAAAGCAGTTCAAAGCCTTGTGAAATTCCACTAATGTTAATTAACGGTGGATGAGGGGAGAGAGTTTGTTCAACTAGTGGAACACAAGCATATATCATGCTATTCTTTAGAAAAGCAACAACTGGCCAGAGCTCTTCACCTCCTACAGTGAGTCCATAGATGGATGTTTTATTGATGTGTGAACAACTATCACGACTCTCCATGAAGTCCTTATCATCATCCAGTAATCTAAGTTCAAAAAGTACTGCTTTAAGAAAGGGACCATCTTCGGGAATAGGCACATAACTTGCTCCATTGAAGATTCTGGCTCGTTTTTCAACAGTTGGATACCGCCTGCATTATGAAAACAGAAATATAAATGATTCTTCCAAGTAAAATCAAAATGGAAGTACTAAAAAAAAAAAAACAAAAAAACCTAACACAGAGGGCAAACAATAACAATAAAATATATAACAACAAAAAAATACATATACACACCCACAAAACCCAACAATCACAGGATTACATATTAAGTCCCTACTACAGTTACTGTTTCAAACATGGTATTTTGTCAAATGATAAAGGGTTATTATTACTGTAAATGTTTAATTCACTTTATTTATTTATTTATTTTTTTGGAGAGGTTTTCGCTATAGGGCGTGTGCGCTCGCCAGACAGACAGAGAGAGACATAGAGACAGAAAGCGAGAAATCACCCCCCAGGGGGGATGGTCACGCTGCAATCCCTTCTCCTCCATTCTCCTCTTGGGATCTTGGGCACGCACGGGCATGCACCCGGCGTGAGATTTAAGCCACCGGGTCCGAGACGCAAACCACGGTCGACTACGTGGGGGTCCAGTGACATAGCCATTATGCTAACTGCTGGTTCCCTTTTATTTTTTAAAATAAGTAAAGTATATTGGTTCTAAATCAAAATCCTTATGTCTCAAACATCCAAGACTCTCTGTTGGTATGTAAGGAGTATATATACCTGGACCATTTTAAGCAACTATTAGAATATTTTCCCTTTCTGAATCCATTTTAGTAGAGTGGGATTAAAGAAATGGTTCAATTTAACTTTTCACAATTTTGGATTCATGAGTTGAAATGATACGTGCTAAAGTAAGTGTTCTATTCTACCCAATCTATGGTGAATAACAGGTACCATGAGCCTTCTTGCCAAGCCCTGATTTTATTTTATGAAAATAAGACTGTTTTAGTAATAATGGTTTATCTATACAGTCTTGACAAATACAATGAGGTAATAAAAAAGGAAGAAAATTTGAACAATCATTCATAGTTTGTATGCTTTGGGTTCAATGATACAATGATATGTTACTAATTCATCGTTTTTTTTTTTTTTAAAATAGAAAACACAGGCCAGCCCTATTGCCTAAGGATTAAAGGAGCAAGACTCTACACCGCCAACCATGGTTGGAATACTGGCATTGGCAGCTTGAAAACCACATTGAACATATGTATGTGGCATGCCCCAAATCCCAACAGGATGGAGAAATGGAAAAGAAGGAATTGCGGTGTGACCATACCCCACTGTGCGATGTTTTCTCTTTCTCTCTCCCTCTGTTCCTGTATCTCTCTCAGGCAGTACATGTACTCTCTGACAAATAAAAAACATAATGGAACAACAAAACAGAAAATGTTTTTGCTCACATTTTCTTTTCTTTTTAAAATTTCGATATAGAACATGTGCACTCCTCAGAGAAAGACAGAGAGAGAGAAAGTGAGAAAACACCCCCCAAGACGGATGGCCATATTGCAATCCCTTGTCCTCCATTTTCCTCTCAGGATTTTGGGCATGAACACACATGCACCCAGTGTGTTCCTGAAGGCACCAGGTCCAGGACTCAAAGTGCACAGTTGACCATTTTGGATCCAGCTGTCTTAACCACTATGCCACAGGCTAGCCCCAGGTATTATTTTTTGGTTCCAAAACTACTTTTCTTCCCATTTCTAAAGCCATAACAAAGCTATCTATTAACTAGTTATTAATTTTTCAGTAAATCACCCAACTTCCCTAAGCCTGTTTTCTTAAGTGTAAAATAAAGGATGGCACAAATTGGCAGTTCTTATCAAGAGTCAAAAACACACCTGGCTAAAACTATGTTTTTTTGCTAATAAATTACTGACGTTTGCTACTTTTTTTTCTTTTTTTTGGAGAGGTTTTTGCTATAGGGCACGTGCGCTCACCAGAAAGACAAGAGACAGAGAGACAGAAAGCGAGAACTCATCCCCCAGGGGGGATGGCCATGCCATAATCCCTTCTCCATTCTCCTCTCGGGATCTTGGGCACACATGCACATGTGTCTGGTGTGAGTTTAAGCCACCAGGTCTGGGACTCGGACTGCGGTCGACTACATGGGAGTCCAGTAACATAGCCATTAAGCAACTGGTGGTCCCACTACTAATTTTTAAAAGTGAAAATAAGAATGTATTCAAGGTCATCCACATACAAGTGAACACTGTTCACATTCTGATGCATTTCCTTTCTTCCTTTCTTTCTTTTTTAAATTGCCAGGGGATGCTTAACAGTTACTAGTTTCATGCACTACAGAGGCAGATGGGAGAAGAGGGAGAAAGTACCCCCCAAGGAGGCGTGGTCACACTGCTATCCCTTCTCTTCTACTTCTCCATCCTGTTGGGATTTTGGACAGTCACATACATATGCCTGGCCTATTTCTCAAGCCACCAGAGCCAGGACCTGAACCACAAATGGCCATATGGGATCTGCTTCTTCTGACCACTAGGGCATGGGGCTGGTTCCTGATACATTTTCTTGATTGAGAAAAGGGACAAATTAGCTAGCATACTAGTAATTGCCTAGTAAGAAAATGCCATTTCTAAGTCTCGGGGTAAGAATAAAGACTAAATTCTAGTCCAGTATCTTTTGCTTTAGTTATCTAGAAGATAATTAAAGTTCTTAAGTATAAAAAAATTCATAATTAAATGTAGAACTAAGAAGTTTATCTGGGGCCTTGCACGATGCCTCTATGTATGCTTGATAAATGTCTTGTTGGATGACTCAACCTGTCATTTCAAATTTATTCTACACTTTTTCTAAAACAGACTCAAATCTTAAGTGGCTCTACAACTACAGGGTACAATATCAACCAAACACAGACTAAAATTGTTGTTATTACTACCTGGACAGCAAACCTTTAAACCAGAATAGAAAACAAGTATTGTTGTTGGAAATAAGTAGTTAGATAGGGAAAAGCTCATTTGCTTTCTCATGTCTTAAATGATGGACAATAATCCTTTGTCATATATATGGAAAACATACCAATACATATTTATTTACTTTAACATCAGCCCCAAGAGGTGAGAGAATTGAAAATAATAAAATAATTCATCCAATGATACAGAATAAAAGTGACAAATCAATTATTTGAACCTACTTGCTGCCTCTTTAGGGATATCATAAAGCTTACCTGAATGTACCTGAATTTTTCTTCTAATATATTATTCTAAGCACAGTGGGAAAACATTCTGAGACCTAGCATTACTTCTTCAAAGGGCTCTTTTTAGATAGTAAAAGTCTTACCTCTATTATATTACCTTTATTACATCTTATGATAAGCTACAAAGCAACAGATAAAAACAATAAACAGTACAGAACTGGCCCAAAAAATACAACAAAGATAATAGAACTGAGATAGGCCAAAGTTTATATGGCAGATATAATAAACATTGTCAACAGCCCCAGAAATAAATGAAGAAAAGATAATACTACTTGGAAGATATTGTTAAGAAAACTGACCCTCAGTATAGAGAAAAACAAAATGGGGTTCCTCCTGAATGCCATATCCAAAGAGGGGGGATACAGATGGAGGATTAAAGATCTAAATATAACACATAAAATTGTAAAGTTAAGAGATGATAATATAGAAAAATATTTAGGGGTAATAACCATAGAGAAAGACTTCAACAAATTCTCAAAAGTATTAACCTACTTTGCATCAGAATTAGTCATTTCTGTTTAACCAAGAGCAATATAAAGTTAAGTGACAATGATAAATTAAAAGAAAAGTCTGTATTATCTATAATAATAAATGATAGGAATAATACATGATGAATACATGATGAACTCCTACAAATCAACGGGAAATAAAAAAAAAAAAACTTCAGTAATGTTCAAAGAAAAAAATGGGCAAAAGAATATGAACAGACAATTCATAGAAGAGGGAATCCAAAGGACTAGTAATCATTGCAAGACAAAAGAGTGCAAATTGAAAAAAAAGGATGCCCCTTATTGTTAAAAATCTGAATAAGTGTTAGGAAAGAATGGAGATATAGGAACCCTTTCTTATTTCTGGTGACTGTGTAGATAGGTGAAAGCATTCTGAGGAGTTCATTATTTAGCAGTATTTAGTCAAAATCAGTTTAAATATGCCCTCACAGACAACTGGAAAGATCACTGCTAGGGAAAAGGGATAGGTGAAATGACGAGGAAGGTGATCCATGGAGTCCTACAGAGCAAGTGGAGGCAATGGCCTGTATCTGCCCTGGCCAATACGGTGGACACTAGCCACGTGTGAGAGCAATATAAAGTTAAGTGACAATGATAAATTAAAAGAAAAGTCTGTATTATCTATAATAATAAATGATAGGAATAATACATGATGAATACATGATGAACTCCTACAAATCAACGGGAAATAAAAAAAAAAAAACTTCAGTAATGTTCAAAGAAAAAAATGGGCAAAAGAATATGAACAGACAATTCATAGAAGAGGGAATCCAAAGGACTAGTAATCATTGCAAGACAAAAGAGTGCAAATTGAAAAAAAAGGATGCCCCTTATTGTTAAAAATCTGAATAAGTGTTAGGAAAGAATGGAGATATAGGAACCCTTTCTTATTTCTGGTGACTGTGTAGATAGGTGAAAGCATTCTGAGGAGTTCATTATTTAGCAGTATTTAGTCAAAATCAGTTTAAATATGCCCTCACAGACAACTGGAAAGATCACTGCTAGGGAAAAGGGATAGGTGAAATGACGAGGAAGGTGATCCATGGAGTCCTACAGAGCAAGTGGAGGCAATGGCCTGTATCTGCCCTGGCCAATACGGTGGACACTAGCCACGTGTGGCTATTTAATTATGATTAAATAAAATGAACAATTGAGTTTCTCATGAATTCTCAGTTACATTAGCCACAGTTCAAAAGCTCAATAGCCACATGTGGCTAGTGGCGATAATATAAGCCGGCACTGATTTAGACGTCTCCCCTTCCCATCACTGTAGGAATCCCACTGGGTGGTGCTGCTCTAGATGAACACAAAGTAACATGGATGTTTCTTAAAAATGGTGGGGAGAAATGGGAATGAAGTCTAAAGCACACTTAATTATGTAATTTGAAAAATACACACACAAATACATACAAATAAAATGGTAATATGAAACATATGAGAGGGGAGGGAGCTGGCAGTTACAAGTAGGTCTGAAAGGAATAATATAAATAAAATGATGGGTACCTTTAGTGAGCCAATAAGGACGATGAGTCATAGAATACAGAATATTATTAACTTCCTGTATTTGAGGTCCAACAACACAACAAATATAAGCCAGTTATCCTGAGGAAAAAATGGTTAAATGCCAACTCTGATGCTCTCAAGTAACAAAATTGTTTGAGTTGCTAAGATGGAATTTTTCACATCTTCAATGCCAACCACATTTCACTTATAATGATAATATAGTCATTTTTACCCGTCTTAATCTCAATTTTACCATGCCTCTCCACTATAGAGCTTTCTTCAGAGAATGAATTGGTGGCAAAAAACGAACTGTCAACTGCCACTAAGAACAAAAGGAAGAATACTGTAGATCACCGGACTGCCTCCAGCGGTCTACCAGTTATTGTATAGTTTTCTGCACTGAGTGATTTTGATACGATACGGTAAATTCTAGAAGTGGGACCAGGCCAACTTACAACATCTACAAAAAGGTGGACGTGGTTTAATTTTTTTACTTTCTTCAATAATTACAGGCTGTAAACTAATGATTTCTCCCAATGATAAATTGTTAATATGAAAACAACAGTCTGATAACAATTCAGCAATGATTTTTTTTTCACAAGAATAAGTTGAAATGTCTGACTTTATCATTAAATGTATTAAGTGTGCTAAATTTCCATTTTCTTTCACCATCTTCACCAATCCTACGTGATGTTTATTTTAAAATACAAAACTAACGTTAGAAGACATATCATGTTTAAGGTGTGCCAGAAATCAACACATCTTATTCTTATACGACACTGAGGAAAGACTGTTAACATCTCTATTTAATAGAGGAAAACAAGAGTGAAGTAACGCGACTATCTGTGGCGGACGCGGACTAAAATGCATCAAAAACTATGCTGGAATTTATCATCCGTCCCCCGATCCAGCATCCCGGGGATTCAAACTTGCATTTACCTGGAAAATCTCACAGTGCCACCAAGAGGAGTTCCGGGTTCGTGGCTTACAAGCCACACTGCCCGCTGGGCCATGGTAAGGCACTAAAACATCAGCTCATGTCATAACTAAGGGTGCCGCCGACGAAGACGGTAGGCTTTCGCAGATAAGCTCTTACCAGGAGGCCCGCGGCTCATCCTGCGCCACACGCGGGGCAGTTCAGAGAGAAGCTAGCTCCCTACGGAGAGGCGACTAAAAACCTCAGTCCCTCCGGCTCAATACACATCACAAAAAGTCCTAACGAGCCGCACCTAGAATCCTGCCAAACTTCCTCAGCCCCAACAGCCCTAGTACTTTCTTCCTCTAAATGCCACTTCCGGGACGGTGGCCCGCAAGGATCAAGGCTCCTCACGCGCCAGCGCGACGAGCCTCTCTCCGCTTCGCCCTCGCGGGCCCCTCCCGACAGCCTCCCGGGCGCGCGCAGCCCCACTTCCGGCGTACGAGGCGGTGACAATGGGAGCGGCGCGGGCGGCGCCGGGAGGCAGCTGACAGGCGTCTGCGGCTTCGCTTCATGGCCGCTCTCCCGCCCCGCCTGGGGGCTGTTGGGAGGGGG